GTGAAGTTTTTCGGGGTTTCTGTAGCAAAAATTGTTAAAAAACTTGTAGGAAACAAACTTGCTAAAAACTTGCACTTCCAAACAGGGCCCTTATTCCAGCCCTCTTCTGTCAGTCTCCCAAGGAGGAGGAGTAACACACGTGCTTTCCCATGTTATTGGACGCCCAAATTACACCGAAAGCCATTGATAATTATGCACAGGTTATGACAGTGACTCAATAGGCATACTTGATCTGGTATTTGTTAAGAGTTAAAGCCGCAGGCTGCTACATTTTGCAAATTCTAATTAGGCTTATCTATTATTTTGTCTTTTGCACCCAGAACAAAAAAAAAATGGCATACATACTCGAAAATTCCAATTTATATTTGATCACGCAAGTTCTTTTTTTTCTTCCCACAAAATCCTTGGATAGTTGCATGAGGATTTTTTAGGCTTATTTTTAGGCAAGCATTGGTAGAGGTGTCAAAATGGGTAACTTGGGCGGGTTTGGGTTGGGTAAAATGGGTAATGGATATAAGTGAGTCAACCCATTTATACTCATTTAATTAGATGTGTATAAATGGGTAAGTTAAAAAATGAATTGGGTAACCCAATTACCCATTTATAACCCATTTATTTTAATTTTTTGTAAACTCATTTAAATTTATTTTTTCAAACTAAGTTTTCATTTATACCGCTCTTTGTACCCACCATTAATTTTAAATATTTACTTATAATGTTCAATAAGCCTAATTACCAATTTTTTTCCATTTATACTCTATGTCGCAAAACTACATATTATTTAATAATTGAATAATAAGAATAAAAAAAATTGAACTAAGTACTATAAAAGTTAATATAAAAACTTAATCCAAAAATTTTGAACCCCTAACATTTTTTTCATATATAAATTTAAAATTTCATTTTAGAAAGATAAGAAAAGAGGCTAAAACTTATCATAAATTGGTAATGCTAAAAAGTGAGCAAGTTAACAAATTAAGAGAAAATAAAAGAATAAGATAAAACCAACAAATAATAATAATAGTGAAACAAAAGTAGTTAACATCATGACAAAATGAAATATTTGAAAAAAAAAGAGTGGGGGAAGAGAAGAGACTTAGGGGAAGAGAATTCTAAATAGGTTAATTGGATTTGATGGGTATTATTGGGTAACCCATTTATATCCACATATAAAAATTTAAGATACTCATACCCACCTATTCATGGGCGGGTATGGATAAATTTAGTTAAGTGAGTTAGTTTGCCGCCTATAAGCATGGGTGACCACCAGACCAAAAGAGCATGTACATCCTTGATTTAGCCATGATAATGGGTAAAGGGCAAGAATGGTACAATAAAATTTGCAATAGAATGTAAACTGTATGTTTCACCTTCGCAAGCCATTTTGTGCAATATATAATTTTATGACACTATTCTTTTCATACAAACATTACAAATTGCGAATTTTGAAACTTAGACCAATCTTGACGCTGGTTACTCCTCGGCGGCCACAGCGTTATTTTTTTTTTTTTTTTCTAATTTCCAGTGATTTCTTTAGTTCACTCCCAGAATTTGGGACTTGCATCTTGCTGATGGGTGATTGCTTCAATTCGCGAATTATGTCTGCAGCCTCATTCCAACCAACCAGGCTGCTAGTTTTGTTTATCGTGGACAAGACAGTGGGGGCGCAAAACTTCAATAAACGAATTAAATGTTCGACCAAACAACTTAAAGGAAATCTGAGAAGGGCTCAACAAGCAAGAAATAACAACAGGCAGAAAACAGTAATAATAACAAAAAAAAGTGTAGTTTTTGTAGTCTCTGCATCATAATTGGCACATAGTTCAAGCCTTTGGAGCCTTAGCTACAACTCTCTGTTATTATTAGGAATATTCTTTCCTACCAAAACTTATTTCACCACTAGAACAGAAAGATTGCTATATGAAACAGATTGATAGATACTGAGGAGAGTATTTATCACTTAGAAATTATGAAACAGACACAAAAAAAAAAAGACACAAACAAAGAGCCGCAATATACCAGCATTTTGTTTGGTTGCAGGAGTAGCCGCCATTGTTGCTGATGACGATCTTCTAAACTCCAGGTCTGGTACGTACGTTGTACAAGACACCCGTCCGATGTCAGGGGACCATCATCATTCACGGACCGTCGTTAAAATTAAAAATTATGGGAACGGTAAACGCCGAATCTTTGCCTTGCCAGGTCGCATTGTAAGCGAGCGAAACCAATCCTTGACTTTTCCAGGTCAAACTCCACCCACACATTTTGTTGGTGATGGTGCCCGATCACGAATGCTTCGATTGCCAATAGATCCGAATTCCCGAACGTGAAGCAGTACACCTCATCGCTTCCCCTAACTTGACCCGGTACCCGATACAGTAGCCTCTCCCCCGAAACCACTATCTCCGCGCCCCGAAGCACCAAACTCACCGACGGCACTTCTGGTATGTTTGTACGGTTCATTGGAACCCGGAAACACAGGTCCATCGCCCCTTGGAAAACAAATTCAGGTTCCTCCAGAACCCGCAACACCGCACTGGTTTGGTTCACGAATTCAGCTCTTAAAGCTGTGTAAGCCGGACCCAGGAGGAAGGTAAACTGGGTGCCCGAGTCAACCATGGTCTGCCCCGCTCCCGTATGATCGGGTTCAAATACGGATTTTGGCAGCTGGAGCAATTTATCCGAAACCTTAATACCTTCGAGTTGAACCGTGTAGGCCACCCGATCAAAATAAGGCAGCGGGGTTGAAATTTGAACCAAAGGTGTATAATTTAAGGGTATCAGCCATGTAAAATTGGCGTCGCCCAGCAACAAAACACCCGAGAAATCGGAACCAGAAATGCAGTAGGAAAATTTCTTAAAGCCCATCTGAGAGACAAAAGAAAGCGACCCGCGATTCATGCCCATCAACCCGGTCGTCTTCGAGTCTTCGTCGGAGTTGCTGCTGTAACCCGAATCCATGCAGCCGAATATGGTGTCAGGAAAATTCGACCCGCCAACGTTAAAGTTGTCCAATGCCAGATTCCCTTCTGAGGAAGAGGCATCCGCGTACGACAACACGGCGTGGCAGAGATTCCTAGAATCACAGGAAGCCGGAATGGACAAGTCCTGGGTTCGGGTGGTGCAGGTGGGGGAGGAGCAAGTGACGGGCGAGTAGGACGATGACCGGTTCGGGAAGAAAACGGGTTGCCCGGATCGGGTGGTGTTGCACTGCAGCCACGAGAGCTCGCTTCCTGTGTCGAGGACCATGGTAACGTTCTGTGAGGGCGTTCCCACTGCCAGAGAAACTGTGAGGGTGACATTGTGGGTGAATGGAAGCTTGTTAGGAGCTCTGGGAAGGGACCCGGTTGAGATTTCTTGGGTTTTCAGGGGCAAAACTAGCATTGCTGCAGAATCTTTAGTGTACATTGAAGTTTCAGCTGAGCAAAAGAAGAGCTGGGTTTGGATTAGCAACATAAGAATGAAAGTGCAGGCGTCTTTCATGACTTTGACTGGTATAGGTAATGAAGTGAATGTAACAGTCTGGCACTGAACAAGATGCTGAAGAAAGATTTTTTATTTTATTTTTTTAAGAATTTGTGAGTGCTATCAGATATGGAGCGGTGAGGAACGAGACATGCTATGAGTTTTGTGTTTGGACAAAATGGAATGAGATATGCTATGAGATTTGGGGACAGAGAATTAGGGGAGTGCGTAAGTGCTCTAGTCTTTGTAACTTGTAAGAAAGTACAGTTGGAGGAAGTTCACTGACGACTTTGAGCTGAAAAAGATCTTCTTCCACTTCCTGTTTTCTTCTTGACATTGGTGCTTAAAACTAGTCGATGTGCTGTGACGGCGGCCAGTGGTTGTGGTGGGTAGTTAAACGACACAGTTTGGTATTGTCTGCGCCACAGAATATGACTGTTGGTTAGTCACTCAGTGGCCTATATATTGAAGTTGATATTTGACAAAAAAAAAAAAAAAAACTCAGTGGCCGGTACTGGCTTAGATTATTAATAATGTGTACATTATCATCGTTAGATACATGTATAATAAATTGACGATCAATCTAAATTTAAATTTTGTATATGCATCATGTATTCAATCGTGATGATACATACACTATCAAATATATGTAAAATTAATTCTTAAATTATGGATAATATAATATTCATTTCACTTTTATCCCTTTCACAATGATAAATGATAATCTTTTAGATGAGATTTGAATTCTCTACGTTATTTCTTTCCCTTTGTTTGTCCATTTACCCCCCATCTAGATAAATAATGTTGCTCAATCAAAAGTAATGAAAATTCTAACAAAATCTAAAGTTGCTCAATCAAGCCGTGAAATATTCTATTTTTATCTGACAATTTGCATGCTCTAATATATGAAATGTTAACCATTTCTTATTCCTAAGAATAACCTAGAAAGTTCTAAAGAAATTTTCTATTTACCCATTCATATGGAGAATTCCAATCTCATTCAATGTTGAACCAAAAAAAAAAAAACCTAAAAGTGGAACTTTATAGAATATTTATAGATTTATCATTACAATTTTTTGGTATTTCTCGGAAACTTTTTCTCTTTGTCAGAGGTTCAGAATCTAAAATGAAACAGTAAGTGGAAATATATGTTAGGAGCCTCTTTTTTTTTTTTTTTTGGTTCATCGGAATCTATTGTGGAGAACTGGAGGCTACAATAAAGATCTCTTGTTTTTTTTTTTCTCCCCTTTGAAAAAGATGAAGATCTCTTGTTCATTCTCTGCCCCAGCTTGAATAATGTGGACGCAAAGCATAGTTACATGCACATGTGCATGTGTTTCTTGACAGACCCGATGCAGGATTTTTATTGTTTTCCATGCTTTGCCACTTTTCCGTAGGGTGGGGACATCCTCCATTAATTTCACGATGACCAGTGAGTGTCAGTGATATGGAGAAACGTATATACGGACCTGTGCTCTTAATTCTTCATGCCAATATCTTCCGAAAACCTTTGGCTCAAAAAATGAAAGTAAAAATTTGAATGTTATAAGGCTTACAAACAATTTGAATGTTATTGAATATAAAATGTCCTTCAATCATCGACTTGACTAGTTAATAAATCAAAGTCAAACAAGTTCGATCCAAACGGTAGCACCACATGCCCTGCTGAAAGATCCATGGGCATAAAACGTGAATGGGCCCAATCAGTTGTCAAAGCGACCGGATGCTTGTACGACTACAAGGGAGATGCCTTGGATCATGGCCGGTGATGGCCACAGTCCATGAGTAAAGGAAATGCGAATCATCCTCGTCCTGTAACAGATTCCCCCTTTAAATCCTTTCTAGCCTACGACAGAGACCCTTCTATGCAGAAAACCCAAAGGCGTCCAATCCTCCAAAATCCGGTACTAACTAACAGCTAAGCAGAGCAGTACCGCATCAAATGTAGTGCATTACACTTGGTAATTGAATGGAAGTCAAGGCAATGACCCGTTAATTCTTGGATTGTTCTCAGATTCGAAAGGGTCCGTCCTCAGTGGCTTCAGCGGTTAGTGTACGTCCATCTTATCTTTGTCTATGCTTCCTTACTGTCGGTAAAATATTTGTGTACAACAAACAGCGTTTGGGACGAAGCTATGGCCGTTCATCATCTTTCAGCTAGGATTGTAAATTTGTAATGGCAGAGTATGTGCCAACAATTGAGCATAATAGGCCCACTACCATTATGACAGTGCAAACTGCGATCTGCAAAATGAATCCCAACGGTTATATATTTTAATTAAATCTAATTCAACAGAGTAGAAGAGGAAAAAAGAAGATTTATTTTCACCTGGAGGTTTGTTAATTTACCACCACTTATTCTGATGTAGCAAGCACAGGGAAGGATTAGAGACTGTCATCAAGCATCATCATCAATCGATGTGATCTCTATCAATTGCATAATCTGTGTTTATAGCAGAAGTAACTTACCACTAGCATTACAAGTAAGGATCCAATTAAGGCCATCACAGATCCTGCACATGTGACGAAACAGCTAAAAAGCTGGAAAGAAAATCTACTAGTACGTCCAATCGAAGGCTAACATGCACATTTCCTTCCATTCAATTCAAGCATGGCAGATCTTGCGATGAAGGATAAACAGAACATTATTAATTCTTACCGAAATATGGAACTGTCAACGCTATGGCTAGAGTTGAGCCCACTAACATTGTCCTGATGAGCATTGATACACCATAAGATCGAAGCCGAGATGAAGGCAAAAGGTCTTCTAGTCCAAATGCAACAGGGATTAATGTCAAGGCATACTTTGAGACGGGTGTTAAAACCTGAAAAACGAAACAAGATGCTTATTTTAATACGTCAAATCTTAAAGCAGCTGGTACTAAGCATTCCAAAGCAACCTACGCAAAGCAAATGAAAACGAAACCATTTACAATGGCATGCTGGGTACGCATTTTTTCTGGTTAAAATGACAATCCTGGATGCTGATATGAATCTGGTCTATCATCTTACCACTACCAATGCAGCAACACCAGAAGCATTAAATCTCGTAGGCAGATTCAGCGTGAACTGTGGCTTGACAGCATCGCCAAACATTGAGAAACCGCAGATTGCAACCCCAGTATACAGAAAAAATGCTGTGGAGAAGCTGATTTTTTTTTTTTGGCGGGGGAGCAAACAGCAGTCAAATGAGAATTCACGTCTCAACAGTTGAAATAATAAAATTGAGTTCTAGACCTTCAATAGGCCCACTAATCAGAGCCCAAAATCTCATAACCCATAAGAAACGCAGACGATCTAATGTCAATGTGAATGTTGACTTCCACAAATTATACTGTATCTGTTCATACAGTATAGTACCTGATCACGAGGATGGAGGGAAATTGTGAAGGCTCCTTCATCGACGAGTAAATATCTGGGAACACTGAATGGCTGCCATAGCAGAAACTGTAGAGACCGATTGTAAGGGGTAGTTTTGCCAGGTCAAAAACTCTTCCACCTGGATGAAATCCCACTTCATTGATCACGCCTACCCACAACAAGCAAATTACCACCACCACTAACATGATGACTCCTCCAACTGAAAATGGGCATTTCAAAAGTAACTGACGTCAGGGCAAACAGAATGATTCTTAACTAACAGTAAACCAAATGACATTCAGAACCTGAAATATATGACAGCGAACTGAGGTTTCGAAGCCAAACTGTTGGTAATATAACAAGGGTTGATACAATTGCACAAAGTTGATAGGAGTCCATATGGATTCCAGCAAAATCCAGGTGAGCATGTGGGAACATTGAAGCCATGTTGTCGCTCATCATGATCAAGTATTCCACACAAGAAGACTGTGCCACAAACAGTATAACTTGGGTTTTCAACAGAAATGACACAACCAAGTGATAGCATTAATATGGAATTAAAGGAAAGGGAAGCAAAAGAGGCACTTACATAAAGTTCCAAGTATAGGACAATCTGCATTTGGTTTAAATGACAGTCAGTAGCAGATATATATATATATATATATATATATATGAAATATAGCCGGCATATTGGTTCATTGTGCTAAAAATTAAATCAGGCTTACAGCTATACATATTCGACCGATCATGCCAAAAGCAGCCTGTCCAATGTCTGGATAGGTTTCGAGTTCTGGAGAGCTTTCTAAACATCTCTTCAACAAAATACCAGTATAGCAAGTAATTACTCCAAAAATTAGAAGTAAAATGAGGCTAAGCCAACCCCCTTCCTTTACTGCATATGGAGTTGAAAGGATTCCAATACCACATAAAGCATTTATTGCTGCATGGAAACATAAACAGATATGAACAATCATGGTATATGAAGTTAAACATATCAGACCATTTGATATATAGATTTTTATTTTAATGGTGGTAACCAAAGCTCTAAAAATCATATGTTAGAAACAGAACAGGTCATCGAATCTTCAATAAATCAGGGATCAAGAATGCAACATGATTTGAATAACAACAAATTTAGTAGTGAGTAATTTACTCGAGTCCCTTTTGACCGTTCTCGTTGGGTAGATAAAATTTTAGAACGTCCGTAGTTACTTCAATCTGATATTCATTCTGACAATCAATGTATGCAAAGCGGCAGGTAGGTTACCATTGAGGATCGTCTGTACATATGAACATTGCTTTGGTGTTGGTAACTCTTCGATAGATAACCTTGAGCCAGAAGCTACTGGGAGCTTTTTAAAATGTTGTGAGCAGGTAACCTCTTCTTTGTCAAAGATCGTTGGAGATATAAGGGGTCTAGTAAATGAAGATTCACGGACAGTAATCTGAGGTCTCTTGTTTGCTGAAGTCGGGGGGGAGCTGCCCCTTAGGAAGCTAAATGAGGAAGGCGTAACACTTGTATACATGTCCATCGATTGCCTAGACAATTCAAACAGATCAATGTTGGGAGCTTAATTTCCATGACATACAGGATTAGTAAAAGAATCATGAAATGCTTCAATCGTAATTAAGACCATAGTGATTTTGGCATCAACAGTCAAAGGAAAAACTAGGTTGGTTCCGTCAAGATGCTTCATAATTATGGGTTGTGTAATGATGGTTAAAGCACCTGTTCAACTACAGATATCAACAGATTCAATGCATATAAAACAATATATTTGCAGACCAGATATAACCGCAGCAGGGGCATTCACGGACACATTTTCCCTGAATGTCTCAATGCAAAATGACGAAGTCATTTTGACGTTTCCAAAACCTATTTGTACAGCATGAACTTGATAAAAGATTAAGATACCTCCCATCCAGATTCTGAGAAGAATGCAATGAGAATCTAGAAGGATGCAGCGATTCAAAGGCAAATTCACGGTGATCCCCTTAATTATGTAATAAGATTTTATTAGTTTATTTGGAAGATTAAGTAGACGCATAATTGTTCTAAACTCTTCTAAAATAACGATTAAAATTGTTAAAGGAAACGAATCCCTCAGATCCAGGAAATGCATATTAATAAGTCCTGCAGACAATCTCTTCGAAGTCCTACATTAACTCGGGTTCAGAGCGGATTCATTCGCCATGTATATTTAAACGTGAATGTGATAACGAGAAGAAGCAGTTGCATGCATCCCACTTTTTAACTTGTAACGAGCGTCTCAAGACAACCATGCAATAAAGTAGGACTAGCACAAAAACAGCATCAAACCAGAAAAAAAAAAAAAAACAAAGGTACGTAGTAAAAACTCGTAGCATGGTGCGATCCAAACGGGCAAAAAAAAAAAAGAAGGAATTTAATGCATGCAAAATTGGTAAGAATTATCTGATTGGGTTAATTTTTGTCTATTAACATCCTGTATATGGTTAAAACCAGGATGAGGGAAATCATAGGATGAGCTTAAAATTCTAAAACCTGTAGCTTTGAGGCCAGCCAGAAGAATGAGATCCCACGCTGCTAGAAGAAGAGTTCACTAAGGGTGGTGCGGCAGCAAAATCAGGTTCAGAGTCGTCGTCGTCGTCGTCCTCCTCCTCCTCCTCGTCCTCCTTGGAAAATCTTTCGGCCCGATTTTCCTCATCGTCGGTATCAATTTCAATGTGGCGGTCTGGTCGATATTCTCCTTCCAACTTCATTATTATTCCCTTGATATTAGGGTATCTAACCCTCCGACCCGAATTCGAGAAAAGTGGGCGACTATTTTCCGGTGCATGCAAACAAACAAACCTGCAATGAAAGAACACACCAATGGCCTCCCGAGAATTTGTTATGCGACTTTTCTTGCCCCAGAAGGAGGGTGCTTGATCGTGTTTATGAGACTCCAGGCATATTAAAGAGAGATACAACAATCATAGAAAGGAGGGATTTTTTTTTTAATTTTTTTGGGAAGGGTTCGACCAGGTGTAATCCTAGATTACGAATCAAAGATTTTTCGTTTGCGCAGACTAGACAAGGCCTGAGATGCGAAAGTTTAGGACCACGTGCAAGTTTAGAGAACTTTGTATGCATTTTTACTTCTAAAAAAGTTAGTAGATATTGTTGACGCTCTGCTAAACTTTTGTTAACTCCGTGAAAGTAGATAGAAATGCCCACGCTTTTTATTTTAATTATCAATATTTAAGGCACATTCATTCAATGCATGTATAACTAATATTAAAAGGCACGGAGAATCGAAGAAGTTACTACTAAGAAATTTTTTTTTAATCATTTTGTGTATAATATGGTTGCTGGGAAATCTGTCCGGACTTTGTATCTCATATATATATATATATATATATATATATATTAAATTGTTATAATATAATTTTTTAAAAAAATTTCAAAAAATAACACTCCAAACAAGGCCTGAATATTGTGGGTCGAGCCCATCTGGATGCTTTTTGGTGAGTAATCGACATTTAGCCATTATATTGTGGCATCAGAATTCTTGGATGATTCATGTGTTGTAGCATACACTGCTTTCCCTTGTCGAAGTTGAACATCTTTTCATTATGCCCTAGCAATCCTGCACTTTAGAGGTTGCGCACTTGGCTGAAAAATTAAAATCTAGCTTACGTTTAAAATGTCAGATATTACCGTGGCTAAAAACCTAATGAACGATATTCACTTTACCAAATTGAAATTTAAATAATAATCAGATGTTAATTACTCGTCCACGAACACCAGTAATCAGTAATATGTAGTTGCGTACCACTATCATTTCCTTTTAACAATAATAAGTCCCCTAATTCTAAGAAAGTAAGTATTACTTGTAAATGCACTTTTGTCGAACATAATGGTTCTCGCATAATTTACAATTTATTAAGTGCGAGACCTCAAATTCGATACTTCTTACCCGGCCCCCGTGTGGGGTGGGGACTTCAGCCGGTAACATTATTATTATTATATGGTAAGTTACCAATTCAAACTCCAATGTGATATCCTGTTTGCATCCTTAGACAGGGTCAGCGCCTTGGCCGTGCTTGCTTTTGTCATAGCCTCATCACTAATTACTTCCTGATTTTGCTTTGGAATGAGAAAAACAAATCGAATTACAAAAAAGATCAAATTACTAGAGGTGTTTCGCAACATTAGAGAATTTAACCAGAAAATAAAAAAAAAAGAAAAAAAAAAGAAGAAGATTTGGGATTCAACACATCTGCACAGCGCGCAGTTTGCTACGGTTTACATATGCAAAAAGCGGGAAAAGCCTAAGCGGGCGAGGGGGGAAAGTTAAAAAAGTAGTAGAAACAATACTGCTACTTATTAGCAATGGTAACAGGAGTGAAGAGATTCACCCACCGTCCTTGGTTCTTTTTTTATTTGTCAATTTGGTTGAGCTTGCCAAGACCGTTACAACGAGCACAGACAATCTGAGCCTGGTCTTTCCTGGCTGCATTTGCCCTCAATGCGGCCCCCGATTGTCTTACGAAACCTGCTCCATCGCATTCAGGACACCTGCAATCGTCAATTTGAATTAATTTCACGGATATGCTCCTACCATCTTCCAGTTTTAAATAGTCCTAAACATTACGCTGCAAGTATATGACAGGAAGAGCACAAGTTTACAGTTTGCACCCACCACCAAAAAATAAAAAATAAAAAATTTGTAGACTGACTGCAAAAAAGTGAATACTAAAAATCGCATACAGGTCCTTGCGGGAGAAGAGTATGGGGAATGCAGTTCCAATTAAGGCCACAGCGGCAGCACCCGCAATTAGATAAGTGGTTCCCTCCGACGACACATCCCCAACTGCTGCGACCACCGCCAGCGACCTCCCTTTCTTCTTATTCTCCCTCACGCCTGCGTTGAGCGACCAAACTTTTGAACCCACAGCTGCTGTTGACCTGCGCAGGGATGTTCCGCTAGCTCCTGCGCTCGGATGCTTGACTCCCAGCGAAGAAAACAACGTCTGCAGAGAAGCTGTGGATGCCATGGATTCTCTAATTTTTACAACAGGAATCGGTTTTCTAACATCAATTGGGTGTGGCTTAGTTTCAAAGATTATTTTGTAGCGGATCACGACGAGAACGTGGGTCTATTCTTCTCCCTGTTTTTTTTTTTTTTTTTTTTGAAGTGGATAAGAAATAGACACATCAGAACTCCCGGACCTTTTGTTTTCCTGGATATGCATTGTCGGCCAATATATATTTGATAAAAATACAAATAGATTTTATCCCTTCTTAAGTTATCCCTCCCTATCTTTTTCCTTCTGTTCCTCAAAAACCAATTCAAACATCAAAGGTCTTATATAAAAACAAGGTGGGCCGGCCCACAGTTATGTAAAGCTTTGCTCCGAAAGCCCAGTGGGAGAATTATGGTCGTTTTTACTAGAATAGCTGGGCGTGGGCGGTGCTTCGGGGGTCGGCTGGTTTGTGCGAGTCCATTCCTGAAAGCTCCGAGCATTGCACAGCTCCCTGCGTCATCCTCGCCCCTCTCTGACATCGTAGATTTATATATCTCTCTATTCGCTTTCCTTCATCTCTCCTTTATCTCTTTCTCCTATAACTAATTGAAATTTTCTGCGAGTGCAAAGAACGTCGCTAGGGTTTATACATATTATACTATCGCAGCTGGTATTTTGGTGGATTCAGTACAAGTTTTTAAGCTAAAGTAAAAATGGCGAAAGAAGGACCGAATTGGGAAGGTTTGCTGAAATGGAGTCTCTCTCACGCAGATGGTACTCGTCCCCCCGGTAATTTGAGGTACCCCTTTTGAACTTCCCAACCACTCTCCCCCTCCTGTTTTGTTTCTTGTTTTCCGTTTTTTGTTTTCTTTTTAATTGGAAGAACTTTTCTAAATTTTCTTTGGAGGAGACTAAACTAATTGGGAGTCTCCACTGTGTAGCGAGGAGGATCGGAGATGGTTTATGGAGGCTATGCAATCGCAGACGGTTGACGTCATCAGAAGAATGAAGGAGATAACTCTGGTTATGCAAACTCCCGACCAAGTGCTTGAATCTCAAGGGGTCACTCCTCAAGATCTTGAGGGTATCGTATCACTATCAATCACTTCTTCTGGACCCCGTCCCCTGCCCGCCTTCTCTTTCCCTTTTCCCTTTTGCGTTATTTTAGTATCAAATTTGATTCCGAGGACGATTGAAGGAGCCGAACTTAATGTGTTTGCTTTGTTACAGATATGTTGGACGAGTTACAAGAGCATGTCGAGTCTATTGACATGGCCAACGGTGAGCCTTCTTATCATTTATAAATACTTTCTATTTTCGGTTCTGGTCAGTACACTCGTAACTTTATACTGGAGCCTGTTAATATTCACGGTAATCTTGCGAAGAAGAAAAAGAACATGTTGATGTGCATTTCGCAAACTTAATTTTAAGTTGAGAGCCATTTTTCTGTATCTCTTTTACCTGATAGTTTCTTTAGTACCTGACGTTTAGCTGACAGTATTGGTGCAAATATTATGTGTAAGACTCGTATGGAACCTAGAGATGGATGTTGAAAAGCGACTATATGTATGAAATGTGGATCTAATCGAAACATGTTTGTTATTATGAAAAGCTGCTTTATGCTGGTTGCTTGCTGAAATTCCGTGCTTATGCTTCCGTCCTAAGTAACATTATTATTATTTTTCTTTCTTTACAACCGAATTATGGTAGTTTCACTGCTGTTTGCCAGTAATGTCACAATTTGGTTGTTGAGAGTTATGTATCCTGAAATGCGTTTATTTGTCCCTTTGCATGTGCAGATCTCCATTCTATTGGGGGTTTGAATCCTCTTCTCAAGTATCTGAGGAATTCCCATGATAATATTAGAGCCAAAGCTGCAGAAGTTGTGAGCACAATTGTTCAGAACAATCCCAGGAGTCAACAACTGGTGATGGAAGCTAATGGCCTGGAACCACTCCTCCATAATTTCACTTCGGATCCTGATGTTACTGTGCGCACTAAAGCACTCGGTGCAATCTCATGTGAGTTCCCTGTAGTTTTAGGAGGAGCCTTTCACTTGTCTGTTGAAGTTTGATCCCTGCTTGGACGGGATTTGTTGGTATTTTAATTGTTTTTACTCTTTCTACATCTTTCAGCTTTAATCAGGCACAATAAGCCTGGTATTGCAGCATTTCGTCTTGCAAATGGTTATTCTGCCCTAAAGGATGCTTTAAGTTTTGAGAGCGTGAGATTTCAAAGGTGCTTTTTTAAATATATGTTGCTCCAGTGAAACCATTTCATTTCTCTCATTTATCACCGATTTCTAAAATTTATTTGATCTTGCAGGAAGGCTCTTAACTTGATCCAGTACTTATTGCATGAAAATCGTTCAGACTGCAATATTGTGACTGAACTTGGGTTCCCACGTATTCTGATGCATTTTGCTTCCAGTGAAGATGGAGAAGTGAGAGAGGGAGCACTCAGGGGTCTTCTTGAGCTTGCTAGAGACAGGAGAGAGCAGGGTGGCAGTTGCTCAAGCGAGGAGGAGAGGAAACTTAAGGAACTTCTTGAGCAACGAATTGAAGGGATCAGCCTGATGTCAGCTGAGGACCTTGGAGCTGCTAGAGAGGAAAGGCAGCTTGTAGACTCCCTGTGGAATGCCTCTTTCAATGAAGCCTCTGCTCTCCAAGAGAAAGGACTTCTTGTTCTGCCGGGGGAGGATGCACCTCCACCTGACGTTGCTAGCAAGCATTTTGAACCACCTCTCAGAGCTTGGGCTGCTGACCGAAATGCCGATGTGCAAGCCAATAGCGAGAAGAAAGATGCTCCATTATTACTAGGTCCACCTGCTGGTAGTGCTAGTCGTCATAATAACTCAAATACAGACGGTGGAGATGAGAGGAACCCTCCAACATAGAGAATATAGTCTAGAATTGCCGAATGACTTTTATGAAGATAGCTTTTCTATTTCTCCACATCTGTGTAACAAGTGATATGTTTTGCTTTTAGCCATTTGTGAGCTTGCTGATGAGTTGTATTTATGTATTTCCCCAAATTGTCTGGGGTGCTTAGTTTCGCTGGTCATTGACCCCACTCATCGTTTCTGTTTCTGCTTGAAGCCTATGGTACTCGCCCAAATCATATTCATTCAAAACACCGCCTGAGAAGTCTGTTTCATGGTGAGCTTATGCGCGCTGGAATTTTTCATTTTAAGGGGTTTTTAGCTTCTGATATTTAGAGACATAAAATTTCTGCAGCGCCTTTGTTCCCTATACACCGATTAGTGGTTCCTTTTTAAAAAAATAATAATAATGAGAGCGCTCTGGATTTTTGAACTCTTAAGATTGCTTGTATTCTTTCTTCCATCATGTTATAGGGTGTTTACATCATCAAGATAAGATTTTTCACTCCATTCCATTAGTTATTATACGTTCATTTGGCTTTCCATCGAAATTCATTTAGTTCTGTCTCTCGATTGCTTGAACATTAGCATCTGGGCAAAGCTTAGGGCTTTGCAGTTTGTATCAAAAACATGTTTGTTTACTCACCAATTTGTACTTCTGGTTTTTCATTTACATTCTTAATACGAGGGTTTTTGTGGATTCAAGAACACCATTTATTAGTTTTTATGCTAAAGATGAGCGAATAGTTGGTTTTAATCATTACAGAAAATCTGCAAGATAAGTATTGGGGATGGCATGTGAATGGTGTTTGGCATACCATTAACGGAGAGAATTGCATTGTTTTAAAAATTGCCACGCTATTCCATGTGAAAATGTCGATGCTTTTTGCAGTTATAGCATGAGATGTCTCCTTATGCATATGTTGATAACAATTTTCACGTCAATCCTCGAATATCCCTGAAGTAATTTGGGGGAGACGGACGTACGAAAACGATGAACTCTGTAAAATACCTCGAAAACTAGCCCATCAAGTCGAAGGGGATGCACTTAATCAAATCATACTTTCTTGACTTCTTAGCTGCTGCTGGATGACAAATGGTTTTTCTGCCGGGTGAAGAGGGACAACCATGATGTCAATTGCCTATTGAAATGCTTTAGTTCCTCTATCAACATGTACACTTGCTTTCCGATAATTCTCGTTTGTGAGTGATAGAGAAATAAGTGAAGGATGCAAATGAAAGGAAAAAGAAAAGTAAGGACACGTTTGAGTAAAAACTGAAGAAAGAAATCTTTGTAGATCGAACCGCCAGATCCTTTCCGCATGCCGATGCCCATCTGCATCAATGTAAGTCGGCACTATCAAGTTCCATCTTTTCCATTTCGAACCTAGACTTTCCTTCCAATTTTGCCTTGAAGAATTTCCTGATGTAATCTCCAAAAATTACCTTCTTGTACTTCCTCAAGGAACCATGGGAGTCCATCATGGTATCCAAGGGTTCTATTTCTACATCATCTTGCGGGGATAGAAATGTTGCAAAGGAAATCCTTGCCTTATTCTTGTTTGTCACTGCTCGGTGTTCGATGCTCCTGTATGTCCCATTACTCCAAATCTGAGAGTCATTCCGAAAACGAAGAAATTTTGGTTCGCCATTAATTGGTTGATGATGGATCTGCTGAGACATAAACAGATGTACTAACAAAAACAAGAGAAGCAAACGTACCTCAAGAACATCTCCAACATTGACAACTAGAGCATTTGGAATCGGTCTAATTGGCACCTACTGGCCCTCATGCTGAATTTCTAAACCAGTAACATCATCATCTTGTGATGGTACGGTTATAGTACTTGCATCTGAGTGAGGGCTAAATCCTAGAACTTCATCAGGTTTGCAACAGGGGGGGTAGTTGTTCAGACGCAAAGCTTGAGGCAGCTCCTTGTGCATTGTAAGAAGGGTATTGCTGGCCATTCCCATGTTTATAGATATGGAACGAAGCAGTTCCATGCCCACTCTTCGAATTTCAGATGAATATTTCTCCACAGTATCACTGAAATGTGAGATTTGTTAGTCGCAACTCACAAGGCGTGCTAACAGAAAAGTTGGAACATTTATTGGATGAACCTACATGAAATCCGCTGGTGTGGTGGGCCAGAATTTACATTTTCGGAACTTTGAAGGAAACATGAACAGAACTAGTGCATCATTCCAATCCAATTTCTGCTTTTCAGAAAACACAAATGCATGCCCATATCCCTGCATGTCATCTGCGGGCATTGAGAACTTATTCTTCTCCTCTAATGGGAGATCAAGAAATAATCTTGCAGTATCTTTTATTTTTTGCAATACTTGGTTCTCTATTCCATGATTGACCACCTGAAAGACATGTCTACAAGTCATATGATATTGAAACAGTGACTGTAGATCGTTTAAGAAGCTCTAAATAGTATACCGTCACAGGGGTGCCTGGTAACGCATCTGGTACATGTCAGAGTTCTTGGTTTCAAGATTCAAGTTATGGCATACCTACTTAAGTTATAACATATATAACATAGAATTTAAAATTCTAGTACGTTGTCTGTTCTTACCTTCTAATGTTAGTCCGATAATTTTAATTATTACCTGAAAGTAGAGGTGGCAATTTGTCCCAAGTCTCAATGTGTTACCCATGCCCATGGGGACTTTGGGCGGGATGGGTATTGGATTTTGATATTGGGTTTAAAATGAGACAAATCCCAATTGTACCCATTAATTGATGGGAATACTTGGGAAATACTTGGGTACCCATTGGGCTCAAATAACAAGGGCTCTGTTTGGTTTAGCTATTTTTGGGGGGTATTTTTGAAATATTTTATTATAGCAGTGTATATGAAAAATTTTTACTATAAATTTTTTTTGAAATATGTGATATACTAATATGAATGGGATGTTTTTTGAGTTATTGTATATTACTGTAACATTGTATTTGAAAAACTTATTTTTTGAAAAAATAGCCAATCCAAACGGAGTCTTAGATTAAAAAATTATCTTTAACAATTTTTATAGTCATACTAGAGAATATAATCTAGTAGTTTTCCTAGTCATTATCCACGAGAATTTTCAACATTTCAGTCAATTTAGACCTGTCATCTTTGGACAATGATGAGGATAAATATTCAACACCTTAAGTACCTTGGTCATCTTGATATATGTTGGAATATGACTGTATATCTATTTTTTCCTTTATTTGTTAATCCAATTTTTTATGGGAATCCTGAGTATAAAGCACTTGCATGTTTATTTAATAAAACTAAAAAAAATTTAATAAATCAAAAATATTAAAATTATATAAAAAATAAAAATGAATTAAAGGAAAAAAAATATGTAGAAAATAGATTTGGGTATTGGGCGGGAATACGGGATCAATCTAAACCCATCCCAAAGTGATCCCGCCCAAGTTAGTCCCAAAACACATATGGGTAAAGTTGGGCCCAAACCCATATGACTCGGTTCCATCACAAACCCAAGCAAATCTCGTCCATCCCGCCCATTTTGCCACCTCTACCTGAAAGAAACCCCATTCTTTGCATGCCTTGTCCAGTTTCCTGAGCTCCTGTTCTTGCTGCTGTAAAAGCAATGATAAATCTACTGTAGGAATCTCAGAGGAGAAAGAGGTCATTTTTGTTCTTTTTGGCTGGTCCTCTAGGCTCCTGATGTTTCTGTCTGGGATTTTTGAAGGATCCCTCTTCACCATTTCTTGAACATTTGGTGCTGATAAAGATCCCCCATAATTAGGTAGCTCCTCTTCTGTGCTATTCTGATTAATAGTCATTTTTATGATTTGCATACAAATTTGTTTTCAGAGTTCGCAACATGATGTTAGCGTTTGGAAGCTTTTTATAGCTGCGCTCAGCGAATGCTTTTTTTCCTACAGGAATCTTGATTTTTTTACCTAGAAAGATACTCTATAAAAAAAACTGGAGTTCTCACCCAAGTTTTGTGGATAGGTCACTTTCAAATTTGATATTTAACTTTTGGACATGCTGTAAATGAGTTTTAAAGAATCCAGGCTTACTTGTACTTGTTTGCCAGATAAAGAAGGATTAAGAAAATCAACGTCCTAGTGTTGTTTGAAGTCTGTGTCGCTGAACTTACTGCCAGGAGCTAATGTTTAATGAATGTTGAATCTTATGGCAAAGATGACAGAACGTGGTTCCTGACACAGTTAATTCACTATTTTCATTTCTCATCTTTTGGTTTAGTTACTACTTAAAGCAGGAGGGGATTTCTAAGCCCCCACCCCCTTTGATTTTTCTTTGTTCTTTTTTTTTTCAATGAACTTTTCTGGTTCACTTGCAGACAAATGGATTTCGGTTACTGCAATTCAACATGATGAAAGAAAGGCCCAGAAAGCTTGGCAGGGGGAAGATTTTGTGTTGTTGAAAATTGAACATTGGTTAGTATTGGTAAAGACTGCAGTTAAAAAGTTCAGGCGCATTAGAACAACATTTTCAGGGAACTGATTCTTCAAACAAAGGTGCATTGCCTGGACTAGTTTTAAGTTTAGGAACTGACTCCATAATATAAGATCAGTAACTGAGAATACATTTAAACTCCTCCACTAAGCTACCAAGTACTCTGTAAACAGAAATCACTAACTTAGGAAGCTCTCCTATTCTAATCAAGAGTGCAGCCTGAACTTCTTGGCACAGTTGTCACTTGGGAGGGCAGAAAGTGATGACATAACGGGAGGCCCTGCATTTGTTGAGGCTGGAAGAGTCATCAAAAGCATAGCTATAGGCTTTCGGGCAAATGGCCTTAAAGAGATTGGCAAAGAGTGTTGGTTTGCAGGTTTTGGGGTTTCCATATTCCCCCGTGCAACAATACTTGGCCGACTGCATAGCTAAGCAAGCACTCTTGCACCCTATCACCTTCTCGCCTACCCTAACTTCCAATGCTGATGGACAACATATGTTGAGATCAACTTCACATTCTGCTATGCCACAGCCAATTCCACCTCCGACTGGCTTCATCGAGACAGGCAAGTTGAATCCATCAACTAAACTCACGTCATAAAAATGTAAGGGGGAGGTGGATGTCCCCAGTGTCATTTCCACCACAGTTGCTGGTGGTGCACCACCCATTCCCTCACAGTGTAGTTGACCTGAACAGTCTCCGGTGCCACACGACCCTTTTCCTTTGTCATCAAAATGGCAATCCTGCCTGCCCCATATCCTGCCTGACCACATCTCAGGCACGCCAATGATAACTTCCTCGCCGCAGCTCAGATGGAAACCACCTGCTTTTGGGGTGACATGGCCAGCGCCGCCAAGTATCCCTGGCCATATATTTTCTGGACAATTGTTTACCAATATTAGCTGTATCCCATCTGCAATAACCGCACATAAAAAAAAAAAAAAAAGAAGAAAGAAAGCGGGTGAGTCATCAGATTATCACGCATTTAAAGAAACGACAAGTTTGGGAAGAAATTATAGTATACTTGATCTCGTGAGAAAGGCATATACGCAGAGTAGGATGAGTAGGAGATGTGAAGAAATTAGCATATTTCAATTGCGATGGAGTTGGCCTCTAGAGGCACATGGGGGAGGACTGAGGAGTGCTGACTGCTGAGATGTGGTGCCGGGCTCTTGGAGCTGGACGAATGCTCTGGTTTTAAAGGCGCAAATTCTGATTGAACACAACATCCTCCTTGATGGCCGAGGACTTGGTTTGGGAAACTTTATCTTTTCTTTATAAAGTTTTTTATTTACAGTTTTTATAGAGAAAAAGAGCAGTATATATGCATTGCTTCGGGGGTGGGATTTGCATAAATGCATTCATGTTGTTGTTGATTTTTTTAATGATTATGTCATTTGTTCATCCTCTTAACAGAAACTGGAATGAATCTTGTGTTATATAAGCATCTGCTTTTCCTTGCTTTGCTGGGATATCTACACATCAGATTCACATGGCTCCGCCAGGAGTCTGGGACCGCTGTTTTAGGTAAGTGTTCTGGCTGCTGGACTTTACGGCAGATACCAAGTTTGAATTTGTGGATCAGTCCGGCGTTTGAATTTGGACGCGGTCCGGAAGGTGTAACACCATTTGTACATGGTGTAACATCATCTGTACAATGTGTAACAATTGAACAACAGCGAGTAAAATAGAACAACATTTTTGTGGGTCCCACACGGCGTGAAAATCGAGTTACAAGACGTGATCTGAATCGCACAAATTTTTTTAGTTTCATCCAGGCCGTGAACTGCCTGGGACGGTTGTCCTCGTCCTTTGAATTTGTGTCTGATCTTGATTGTCATGCAAAGCAAGGACAAAGGGGATACTGCTTGGACTGAAATGCCATAATTTTGTCGCCAACTTTTAGAAACCTTGTACTTGACGATCGATGTCTCTTCCCTTTCACTTCACTTTTCTGCTCCTGAGTGGCAGAAATTGGAAGAAACTCAGCCCTTTTCCAGGAATTCTATTTTTTTGTTTTTTTGGGTCAGAGGAGGCCTGAACGGCCATTTGTAATGTCACAAACCTTGACCCATTCTATTGTTGTTCGGGTTCAGTTACTATTTAAGCTTTAAATGATTAACTGAAAATCCAGCCCATTCTATCAATGCTGGGATTTCTGAAACCGAACGCCATTTTGTTACTCGTAAATATGGATGCTGCAGAAGGCGGTCCACATAAAAATGGGCCTCATGTTAAAGTAGCCCATTTTATTTCATTGGTTTCATTTTCATACACTGCAAAATTCATGTAGAATAAGACTTCCTGCATCAGAAAACATCAGAAAAGACTTCCTGCAAGGAGTACTGGACTGGACTTGTATTTACCAACGCAACTTTTGTTAAAGAAAAAAAAAATCCTGGGTCCTTTGTTTTTCTTTTTTACACCTCTATAATCATATTTTTGGCGTTTTTCTTTCAAAAGCTTCTGGATCCTTCCCTTCGTACGGTTTCGGCCACCGCAGTCCCGCCAAATCCTCCTAGACATAGCGACATCTGTTTTCTTTTGAAGTGTCTTCGCAGAGTCCATTTATCGAAACACTCATACAAAAAACTGTGAGTTATGAAAGGGTCAATGCACATAGTACTCTTTTTTTTTCTTTTTTTTTTTTTTTTTTCGACACAGGATTGTTCGGATCAATTCTTACGGGGCCGACTAATCCCCTGCGACCCGGATTTTGGCGCCCCAACCCGACCCAAGCACGGTAAGTGCGCGGAGGAATCCAGCAGCGCAGGGACTCGAACTTGGGACCTAGAGGTTTACCAGGAGGAGGTGCTACCGCTGGACCATTCACGCGGGGCCGCACATAGTACTCTCTTATACACATATTAATAATTAATATTTTTTTATATTTATATACTATTTTCATTTAATTTTACTTATTTATTGTATATTTATCTACCTTTTTTAATTTTATATTTTTCAAAAATATAACATTTAAATATATTATGACATCCTTTATGCAAACCGTTTAATTATTTATCCAATTAATTCTCCTTGTTTCGCTAAACAATTTTATAGACTAATTTTACAGGAAAAACTAAGACGGTACTGATCGACTATACATTCACCTGTAAATCTCTTCCCAGCCCACCGCCAAAATCTCGATTCTTCGGGCTCCCTTCCACCTGAGTCTCCGCAGACTCAACCGTGTGCTCTTTAGGAAGAATATCAGAGTCCCAAAAAAGAAAAAAACAGCTGAATCACAGTCAAAGAATCATTTGGCTAAAAATGATGGGCATTGCAGCAAAGGTTCGCGGAGCGGCGAGAATCTGCCAGTCTTTCTCTCTGCTCCGACCACCATCGGCACTAACTCCGGGACAGCCTCTGAGATTTTTGTCGGAGAGCAACAACGCAAACAAGAACCCAGTTGTCCAGCAAATGATAGACTACGCACTTTCTGTTGGCCGTTCCCAAAAATCAGGTATTTTTCCATCTTCAATAAGATTTTATCTTTTTATTTTTCCATCTTCAATAAGATTTGAGTGTTATGCTAAAAACATATGGGGTATGTGTAGATGAATCAATTTCGCAGGGTCTGTTGGTATTGGAGCAGTGCCACTCCACTCAAGCTGCAGATGACGATTCAAAAGGGATGGTTCTTTTAGCCATGTCTACCCTATTATATGAAAGGTCTTAATTTTTTGTTTTCTTCTTTTTACGTCCATTGCTATTTCGAATGACCTTGAAATTCATAGGTTTCTGTTCATGTATATCAGGGGAAACTTTGCTGAAGCCTTTGAGAAACTGCAGAGCATCCAAGATTTGAGCTCGTCTTCTATTGCTATTAGAGGTGGTTGACATGTCTCGGGTGTAGTTACTTAGACCATATTGGTTGCTCCTTTAATTTTGATTGTGGATTGGGTGTTTCAATGCGCTTTACCTTTGGTGTTTTGCTGCAGTTGCTGCTACAGAAGCTCTAGTAGGAATCCATCTCGAATTGGATGAGGCAAGCCCCCAGAGGACAATTTGCAATTGCTATGTCATCTCAAGTTTAAGTTCATTTTAGGATATTTACGTGCAGGATTCTCCTTGTACAGGATGATGCTTCATCTGTGCTCACAAATATATGGTATAACCTCATGGACGCTATCAAATTAGACATTGGTGGTGGGAGTGGCTTTGATGTTCTGGAAGCCCGTGCAAAGGCGTTAAAAGGACTTCTGGAGCTGGTCCGGGGTAATCTTCAAACAGGTCTGCGTGTATAGTTTGTTTAATCAATTCTCTTCTTCTGTGGCACTCTTGATCAGCTTAGGTCTCTATATTAAGTTACTAAATGCGGCGGAGACATTCTTTTCTAGCAGCTCAGGATGATCTTCTAGTAGCTCAGGATACTGAAGCTTGCACTGGTAAGGTTTTGCCTTCCTAGACACCGTGGTAATCTCTTGCACTATATTTTATTGATCTGGTGTTATATAGGCAATGTTGCTCTGTCTTATGGTGAATATCTTCATGGCATGCGGAAACTTCCTATTGCAAAGGAATTATACCAGAAAGTGATTCAGCAGTTGTCGGAGAGAGATTTTAACGACCTGCATAATATTGGGGCATGTAACATGTCAAAGGATGAGGTTTACTTAGCAGCTACATGTGCATTAGGGCAGCTTGAGGCTCATTTAGGGTAAGCACATTTTTTATTGCCCATTAATATTCATCTGACGGTGTCCTTCAAGGCATTGATTCTTGAGTTGTTTTTTTAGAAATTTTGGTGATGCTGAGGAGATTCTTACTGCAGCACTGAAGAAAGCAGAACAACATTTTGGTAATTTTACTTTCATTTCATTTAACATGGAATTACAGTCGAGATTTGATGCTACATAATGTTTATGCTTAATTGGTCTAGGGTCCAATCATCCCAAGGTTGGTGTTATTTTAACCTGCATAGCTCTCATGTATCGCTTGAAAGCGACAACAGAAGGCTCAAGTTCTCTTCTAATTCAAGAGGTAAGAAATTGCTGTTCAGGATGACATTTGCAACTTTCCCAAGTTAATTGTCTCCTCTCCTCCTTATTGCTGTTAATCCTCTTTGAATATAGTATGTAATGTTTTCCGGGCAACTAATATACTACATGTTTCAACGCATTCATTTATAAGAACTCAATAAAGTGACTGCGTGGAGCAAGTTGACTTCAAAATGAATACTCAATTACTTTCGTATTGGTTGCTATGATATTTTACTGAAGACAAAATCAATATTTTTGCTGTAGTGGGTTACTGGCAGTGGACTTTTTACTTTTCAGATCTTATTATGCATGGACATGCTTCTGTGATGTTGATGGATACTGATACTATTGCAGTTGATTAGTTTATTCACACCATTAGTTCTCTCAATAGCTTCTCTAGTTCATCCTGCAGGGACTTTATAGAAAGGCAATAGAACTGCTTAGAGCTCCACCATTGGACAGTGATGGTATGCAGATCAATTTGCCCAATTTGTTTTTAAACTTCCCTTTGTGAAGATTGGCTAGCATTTGATTGATTGCCTATGCCTTTTTATGCTTTTTGGTGTCCCATAGGCGCTGAAGGAAAAGTATATAGAAGGGAAATGGTTGCCCTTGCCAGAGGTATGATTTAAAGTTCGAACTTGCAAGTTACAGTGGATGTGCGACTGGGATAGATTTCTAAACGGCCAGTATTTTTTTTTTTCGGGGTCTATCTTGGAGCATTATATTTTTGTATTGGTTGTTTAGGTGGCTATGCAGAAATACTGTGTGTTCAACAGAACAGAAAAGCAGAAGGCGAAAAAATGAGGCGCTGGGCAGAAGCTGTATGGAAAAATCGCAGGCTTTCACTAGCTGAGGTGCTAGACATATCTGAGAATTCTACCAAAGTACCTGTTATAGATGCTAGAATATGCAGGTCTGTATAATTTTCCCGAGTGATAGCTGATTTTGCTGTCAGAAATTTGAAATTTGTAGTGACAACGCTAAGGGTGTAACAATTTCTAATTTGCACCTTATGTAACTAACTTATCCACATGTTTTTGCTGAGGTCTGTAGTGACTGAATAATATTGTACAAGCTTTCACAGATGCTGTTAAGATCTTTAAATTCCATTGCTAAGTATATCAGTGCGTTTTTCGGCATGTTGGATGTGCTGAGTGCGTCCGCCGTCCGATGAAAATTGCTTCATATTCTACTCCAACTCATTGTTGAGCTGTTTGGTTACCATTTTTTGGTTTGAAATGGAGAATTTCTTGTTAAAGAGTTAAATTTGGTAAGATCAAGGAAGTTCAAAATTATTTAGCGCAATATCAGTTACATAAACCAAACCGCAAAAATAAAATATGCATCAAGGGTTTAAGAAGATCTGCTCTGCACAGCTGAAAGTGTGTTGCGCAACCATAAAATAGAGAAAACAATACATGGCGGAATTGGTCAGTGACAACTGACAATCACAGGGGGAGATTAAGACCTTTGCCAACTTCTACGCCAATTATCTGAAGTATTCCCCTGTTCAGAATCTGAAAACCAAACCAGCAATGGTTAACCCTATGGAATTTGCCAAGGAAACGTGGATGGAGTATGGCAAAATGAAGAAAAATGTACCAGTTCAACGATGAAGATGCCAATAAGACCAACCATGCAAGTCCTGGAGTTCCATATTTCAGCAGTCCTAGTGAACCCCAGAAATGGGGGCTGAAATTTTGGAACTTCTTTCGGCAGTTCCACCTGAAGATTGATATATAGTTTCAATGGTCATTTTCCTTAATGACTAAAAAAAGAAAAGAAAAGAATGGATTAACATTGAAAGTGTGAAATCAAACCCCAAGAAGATGAGACTAAGAAAACTGGAAAGGAAATTTGAGCAGTACGTACTCCAGCAGGAAGCTTTGCAGCTTGAACCTTGAAAACCAGCCGCTTCTGACTCCGGGAGGAGGTTCTGAGGGTTGGATTATTGTGGAGAAAGTAAAGTTGGTGATTCTGACTATGATGGAGTGATGCGATGGCCGGGAGTGGGAGGAAAGAAGAAGAAATTGCCGCCGACGCAGCCATTGCCTGGTCGCTGGTACCGCTTCCAACCTTAGCCATTGATATCTTCTTCTTCTTCGGCTTATCTACACTCTTCCACGTGGCGCCCTGTTTTCAGGTGTGGTGGGTCCGGGTTCTACTTCATCGTGCGTTTGCAGAAGAGGGGGATGATTGCATGAACGGTTTCTGACAATTCACGGTCAAGATTTGACCCAAAAAAAAAATTTATATGGTTCAAATCTCATCTTATACCTCATTTTTAACAATATATGTGAGATTCATAAAATTCTAATTTAGAATTACACGTTATTGAAAGTAAGTTGCACCATATGTAAACAGAATTACGTCACGTGTAAAATGCACATAATTTTCAAAAACAGCTGTTCCTGCAACCGTTCCTCCCCTAGTCCCGCGTTTGGGAAGAGGGGCACGAACGGTTCCTGACAATTTACGGCCAAGATTTGGTTAGCGTTTGGGAAGAGGGGCACAAACGGCTCCTGACAATTCACGGCCAAGATTTGATAAAAAAATGCGTTTGCGTGTCCGGGCCCCATCTCTATACGTGCATCACTTGGCAGCCTCGAATTGTTTTTTCACCCGTTATGCTTTTGGGGCAAATGCAAGTACGCACGTACCGCCCCTGCTTCAAATTGGAGTAATGCACTGCACTGCTTTCTTTTAAGCGCTGCATGCAGGCGTAAGAATTCGATCGATCACCTTATCTATAACTCTGACAGGGAAATTTTAAATCCCTTCTTCTTGATGATTAACTTACCGAAAAGAAAATCTGATTCGCACGCAAAATTACAAATAGCAGAACTGGTTTTATTTCCTCAAATGCACTGTCCAAATCTTGGTTATATTACTTAAAAACGCTCTCGACACAATTGTTCTATCCATTCCAGCCTTGATTATTTTCTTTGTCTAAATTCCCATACAGCGGCATTTTCTTGTCTTTATTTTTGTTTGAGCACTGCAACCATCCGTTTCCTCAGGCGTTCTTTATACAGCAATCTCTTGGACAGTTTTCCAAATGTGATTCTTACTCTAAATTTTGCTGCTATATAAATGCATAATTTCTAATAAAATTCTACTTATTACATAATCATACAAAGATTTCCGGAAGACTGCATACCCATTTGGGTAAGTGGAAGACTGCAAATCCATGTTTGGGCTATTGCAGAATATCTTCAACTGAAAAAAAAAATCATTATGAATTCTGGCAAAAGATTTGCCCTCCGAATGATGAATTTGAACAAGTGCTTTCTTACTGGTTTTATAGAACATTTGAACGTCTTAACACCACAAACAAATTCTACTTATTTGGTCGTTTATGATTTTATTACGTCAACAGTAAAGACGTCAAGGAATGATCAATTTCAGACACCGCCCTCTTCTTGTTCTCTCTTCCTCTTTTTTGTCGATCCTCCGAAGTAATTTATGTCCGGGCTCTTAATTGTTAACAAGAAGGAATGATCAATTTGGCAGTCACAGAAATCACAGCAAGAATGCGCGCCCAAGACAGTCACGGGACTGGAAGGACAATTAATGCAGCTAATCTTCTTAGCAGAAGTACTAGTGTGGCATAAATCCATCATCATCTTACAGCACTTGATTAAATCATCCTGCATTCCATGAAAAATAGAATTTCGATTAGCGTTGTGCTGTTTGGTCCTAGAGCAGAGCAGACCAAAGAGCCCCAGAAGAAAAGATAGTACCTTTTGATCTGGAGGGATGAGGACGCTGAAATGGGAGCACAGAGAGTCATTTATTGTTGACAGAAACTCTTTGGAAATCCGTTGTATGGCAGACACGGCAATAATACAGGGCCGAAACTCCAAGAAGCTAGAATCTGAACGATGAACCATGATTTTCATAGCTAATAAGTTCGGTCTCATCAAGCTTATTGGTATTAGCGTAGTGGGATTTATGTTGCATGCGAAGAAACTTGTATGACCAGAGGCTGTTAATAAAAACCCTAAAGAAATCCATCTATTTTGTACGTGGAATTAATTCAATAAGAATGTGAACTAAAAGGGGGGACAAGATTCTGAATTGCAGCTTCAATTCTCACCTAAAAGTGCCTTGACCAAAAGCTCGGTGATCAGCTCCTGGACGAAGTGTCTGTTCAGGGGATCAATGCTCCGCGTCAACAATTCTAGGTACGAATATGACGTGGTTGGACAAAGCCGCCATTCTAAAGCTTTTAAAAGAATCAATTCCATCCGTTGGATTAAGCTTGATTCAAAGGAATGCTCAAGACCCTCCGTCTACCAAAAGTACCAACCAAACAATTGTGGTCAAAAAAAAAAAAAAACTATTGCAACGTAAGAGTCATATCAAGTGGTATTACAAAGATTAAGTACTGCAAGAATATATAAAAGAAAGAGATACCACTTGAAAAAAAAACCTGGATTTCATTCAATACATTAGGGGCGTTGGTTTCGAACTTGAAAGCAATAGATAGGCATGCAACAGACACTAGCTCAAACATCCAATCATTCCGAACCTGCAAATTGTGAAGTGTTATGAATTGCAGCAACGAAGCGGAAGCCAGCCATTGAACTACTCAAGATTAGTGCGACATAGTAAATAAAGGGCTATAAGAAAGATTAATATTGGATTTGCATTTCTCACTTGGCAATCTTTGAGAGAACCGAACCGATCAAGGTAATTTGCGGCCCTGAAGACAGTTTCAAGGGAGAGATTCAGCCGCCTTTGAGACTCCAAGATTTAAAACCAAATCGAGTCAGGCAAAAAGGAAGGACACATCCAATAGTTCACTTAAATTACGAAAATTTTAAAAGATACAATCATCGTAGATTCATATTTCATGGTAGTATAGCGAGTATATGCGAAAATGCTGTGGTGAAATAAGGAATGAAACTTTTTTAAAGTTTCAGAAAGAATTATACTTACTTCAACAAACCAGTGTATCGCTTTAAACCTACCACTGTCTGTCGAACAGTTTTCTTTGACTAGCTTCAAATAACCTCGTTCAGGCATGTAAAAAGCCTCCTTTTCAAGAAAACTAATGAAAGCCCGCTGACAGTCTTCGGAGTTGGAGTACAAGGATGTAGTACTAGTAGAATGATGGCCGCAGTTTACATTGTAATATTCAAGTGCTTCATTTGCATGTACCTCATCATGATCCAGGACAGGACTCATCATAAGCCAAACCTCGTTGCACAGCAGACTCTCCATCATTCACTTTGGAGATTACAATTCAATGATCGGAACCGACTGACTAGCTATCTATCATATAATGGTAGCTTTGTCCTTGTGCTTGCAAGTTGGAGCAGCATGCAAACAAGGGAACTTGGGAGGCAGGTTACCGGGACAAGAGTCGAAGGTTTGTTATATAGGGAGGGATTTAGGAGCTGATGCCTGTTGGTGGAGGTCTTTGTTCGGCTTCGGAATCGTAGGGGATTAAGAAACCTACGGTGTTTAATGTACTCTAGTGCTGATTTACTGGTACTGGGCAGTTACCAAGCTGTAACAAGATGGCGATTGGCGAAGAAAGATCATGAGACATAAAAAAGAGGACACGTCCCTCATGAAATGGGGTAAATGCGCTTAGACATTTGTGGTGCAGAGGTTTTTTGACTGCAGTAACCAATTGCGTGACCACACGAGGATAGTCCGGTTCTCCATCTGTTTATTAGCTTTTCATAGGAGTGGAGGAGATTTGGTTGTGCCTGGATTCTTTCTGGATCGGGATGCTTTTCCAATCTACTGGGCTTCAGGTTTCTCTTGCACTGTTGCATTTAGTGACCAACGTATGGGTCTGTCAAAACCACTCTTGAGTTTTCCGTGCCGCCATGGGGACAACTCAGGAGAATATGCGTTCCCTTTTCAGCCGTGTGAAAGTACGTTAAGTGTCTCAACCAACTATTTAGTACCCGTTCTTTTTAGTATGTTTTAAGGAATAACACAATGTAGTAGAGCTCTGTTCCACAGATATTGTATCCTTGGTGCTTTGCATTTGCTGATTTTAATGAAATATGATCACATTTAAATGACTTGTCAACCCTGTCGTTCCCAACGGTCAGCCAAATCTAAGCAACTCGATTAAGTACCAACAGCTAAATAGCACATTTGGCAGCTGATGCAATTTTCAGGCTCATTCACCAATAGGACCTCTAATTAACACGGCACAGACTTTTTCCCCAATAACAGATGCACGAAAATTCATATGCGCTTGGTAAATATTTGATTCTTCACCCTTAACTATGGAACACCAACTTTTGATCTTACAACTAGTTGTCTAGATTTATCCAACCGGAAATTTAACCAAGTACTGGAAAAAATAGGCCAAACCTTGCCAAGTATACGATAAGCAGAAGTACATTGCAAAAGGAAGAATCAGGTGTAGAATAAATATTTCAACAAACACGAAATGAAAAGTATCAGGTAGAAAACCTTGTTGTCATTTAACCCTGCATGGTTGCAAGCCTACTCAGAAATTAATCACAGACAGACCAATGACAAGAGCGTGTTAACAAATTTACTCTACTAACTAGTGATTATTTTGTGAACCAGTAGACCTTAGGGATCCACAGTCAAACAGATAAATACATCTCCTCAACTGACCTAACTATACAACTTACAAGAAGCATGAGTCCCGATATCTCCACCCTAGAATTTGAGGGACTGCTCAGAAAAGCACCATGGCAACCATATATCTCCAGCAAAATAATGAAGCAAAAACCTTCATATCTTTCAGAAAAAACAGGTGTTGAAGTTATTGCAACTCGTACGAGGAAAAACTGAATCCTGATCTGCCCTCGTTAATGGACTTCAATTCCAACTTCTGGAAAGGACTGCCAGAAAAGTTCAATACAGGAAATAATAAATTGGTAATGTTCCGTTAGAATGGCCAGGAGAACTATCATTGTTCTACATGAAAGAGTCTTGACTAGTTATCTATTCAGGTTTCCTTCCCACTGAAACCTTTAACTAAAATATACCGCCTGTTGTTTGTCTCCATATTTCTGCACATTTAGACTCCCTACCTAAAAGAGCGATAAGGTCACCCACTTACATCTCACAACTACTATAATAATAATAATAATAATAATAATAATAATAAAGCATCACAACTTTTGGGGCAAAACACTGAGCAGTCTGTGCTTTTATGTAATTGAAAAGACAGAACAACATGTTAATGGAACATTGTTTGAGTGCAAAAATGACTACAATTATATCTCGTCTGTACGTTGCTTAGGGAGTAAATCCCCAAAAGGTGGGCTTTTTGTGAAAATAATTCCTATAAGGTGGTGTCTTTCAAACCTCTTTCCCAAGGGTGAAAAACACATATAGTGAATGCGATGTTTCCTTAAAAAGCGCATTCTGTGAATGTATTCTTTATTTGTGTATTCATTTTTCCCTTAAAAGATGCATTGACTGAATGCGTTGTTTCAGAAGTCTCACTATTTGGAAACTCTTTTTGAAAAGTATCGCTATTTGGAAATTTATCGCTGTTTAGGTACATAGAAATACAGGCCCATCTAAGAAAAATCTTAAATCCAGAATTCCTGCCTCCTATTGCCCTTCCCTCTAAGAAATGGAAAATAAATAGCCCACACCTTGTTTAATGTATATTTCGAGGAGATAAGAAATCATATTACATAAATATTTCAACATAAATCATAGCTATTTCAAATTTCTCTCATTTCAGAATTCCTCCATGTCATTGACAATAACATACATGGCTTTTAGACTCCACAATGACCTTTCTTTCATTCATTCTTTTTCTTTTTATTCATCAAACAAAGACAAGAAATAAGTATTGCAAGAAGCTAATGCTTGTCAATAGAAAGATCACATACAGAAAGCAATGCTTTTTGAGCCAATCTAATATCTAAAAACGCTGCCACTAGATTGATTATCAAGGTTATAATCACAATTAGAATTGATTATAATCACAATTAGCCTATTGGAATTTGAGAAATATGAGTACTGGAAAAACAAAACATCGCTTTACCAACAATAACTTTCTAACCACCAGCAAAATCGAAAAATTAGGTACCTGCTGTTAGGATCATAGTAGAAGCCACTAACAGACCCATCACTGCAGGAGAAACAAACATAGTAAAAACCAGCAATTGTAAGTCCACAGTCCGTTCCAACATTCACAAAGTACTGCTCTTTCCATCTCTACAACCAAAAGTTGAAAAATCAAATCTTAGAAGAAATGCCATAATTAAGCGTGATCAAAAACTGGAACAGATAAATGGTTTTTATTACCATAAATATGTATGGATAGTTACTCAAATCCAAAGATTTCCCGCCATCAGTTTCCACTTGGCTCTGGAAAAAGCTAAACAGAGTCAACATCATAAAATTTGAGCACAACGGATAACTTTTGGATACTCACCTGAAGGGGAGAGAAAGATGGGAATTTGGTCCAGTGCTTTATGTCATCATCTGAACTGTTCATGGTTTAACAAACTAATTAGGCAAGTTAAATTTTAATCCAAGCATCATTTTATTCCTAAAATAGACACAACTTTTATCAATCAAATTAATCCTGTTTAATGAGTGCAAGAACATACGTCGCACCCCACTTGTTAGTGAAAAAAGTATAGTTCTTGGTATCAACAATCTCGCCTTCCCAGAAAGTAATCACCTGTGGCACATCAAAAACAAGAACAAAATTGAACACTACGTAATCACATCCTGACAAATAGTTTCTATTCAATTTGTCTGTTTCCCAAGAACAAAAACTGTGTTCAGAAAGATAAACTAGAAGGGGAAAAGTTAAAAAATAAAAATAAAAAATGAAGGAGCTCTTTTCCTATTTCCCATGATGCATGATAATTTGGTAGATAAAAGTAGACATATTACTTTGTTTACTTTCTCGTCCCATTTTTTGGGTTACATTAATTAGTTATATTCCACAAAATGTGGATGGTCAACTTTTTGCATACACAGACCTGTAGCATTTAAAACAGGTAAGTTACTAATAGAACAATTCATTGTCAGAATAGTACAGTTGACAAGTCGAATCATCATTCAATAAATGATTCAGGATCAGAGAGGAGGAGGGGAGGGGAGGGGAGTCACAGGATAAAGAGTTAAAGGAAGCCATATTGGACTGAATCATGATCGAGTGAACATCGAATCTCTAGTCGTATAAACTCTCAATTACAGGCTTTGCGCAATTCCATTGGGTTGTTGTGGGGGGGGGGGGGTTGGTAAACCTCCCCTATATGCAGGGACAAGCTTTTCTTTCAAGCAAGTAGTTGTCAATTATCAGGCCAATATCATCGCAGCAAGAATATACAAATAGCACCAGTTGGAAAGAAGCAACTCAAGAACAACATAAAGCTAGCATGGGTTAGCTTATCCTCATAAAGGAAATGGAGAAGACCGGGGTGATAGAGGACATACTTAATGTGTTGGACTTCATGCGATCTGAACAATCATAATGTAGGACCATCTCCACACAAAAAATTATAATTTTTCATACATTAGCTTGAAACAGCATCAATACTTCATGTTCTAAGAAAATCATGCTTATTTTCCCAAAGGTGAAAATACTATTTTACAACAGTAAGAAATAACATGACATATAACAAATGAAAAAAGTTAGATACTGCATGAAACATATGATATGCAAGTTACATAGGAAACCAAAAGATCAAGGAACCATAAAGGTGAAATTCATTAAGAACGGCTTCTTACTGGTGTGTCTGCCATAGGAACATTAAGGGCCTCCATTGTGCCACATAAATACCCATGATCAAGGTCACAACCCAGAATTCGAACATTTACTCTCCATGCTTCATCCTTCTGTAGACTTGAGACATTCTGCGTCCCAGAGAAAGCCTGCAGTAGCTTATAGACAAACATGCTTAGAACTGGGAAATCTATTACACGTATCAATACTTGTTCAATTGCATCTCCAACATGCTGTCAAGTCTGGAGTGCAATTATCAGGCATATAGAATCATGCGATCAAACATTTATTCAAGGTAATTTTGTTACAATGTTCTGTCATCTGTAGACATCAAAGATGCAATTAAATTTGTTTCTGTTCCTCGAGAGGAAAATCAGAAAACCACAAAAACATAAATACAATAACACCATTGAAGGCTAGAAGTTCCTATGGATCCTATTAGCTTTCAGGGAGTGGAGGCAATGAATAACCAAGATTTTCCCGCCCTTGCAACATTGTCTATCCCATCTCCTACACATTCCACCCCAGATCCACAAATGATGAAATTTGTTCTGGATTCCACTTCTATAAGTCAAGCATCTGCCAAGTCATTCCCTATTTTCCCTCGTTTCTGACCAGAAAAGAAAATTTCAATGGCATTATGTGGGCTAACTTTTTTATACATTGATTAAAAGATATACAATCATGAGTGTACTAGTAACACACTTTAATTGGAGAAACGATGGGGGGACAAATGAGGAGTAGA